GAAGCTAGAGCGCTGAAATCATAAGAGGATGTTCCCCGTTCAAGTAGGTATTAATGATATTAAAACTATCCCCCTGGTAAGCGCGGTAATCGCGTACGGGGGCGCCAAATTTTTTTGGCACAAGTTCATAACTCGGTTATCTTTCAAGCTAGAGCGCCGAGATCATGGGACGATAATCCTCATCGAAGTAGGCGATAATGCTCTGAAGTCTATCCCTCGGGTAAGCGCGGTACTCGCGTACGGGGGCGCCAAATTTTTCTTGGCACAAGTTCAAAACTCGATTATCTTAGAAGCTAGAGCGCTAAAAGCATAGGACGACGTTCCTCATCGAAGTAGGTGATAAGGCACTGAAATCTATCCCCTTGGTAAGTGCGGTACTCGCGTACGGGGGCGCCAAACCTTTTTTAGCACAAGTTCAAAACTCGATTATCTTAGATGCTACAGCGCTGAAAGTACAGGACGATGATCCTTATCGAAGTAGGCAATGATGCACTGAAATCTATCCCTCGATGAAGCGCGGTATTCGCGTACGGTGGCGCCAAATTTTTTTTGGCACAAGTTCATAACTCGGCTATCCTTGAAGCTAGATCGCTGAAATCATGGGAGGATGTTCCACGTCCAGGTAGGTATTAATGATATTAAAACGATTCCCCTGGTAAGGGCGGTACTCGCGTACGAGGGCGCCAAATTCTTTTTGGCACAAGTTCAAAACTCGGTAATCTTTCTAGCTAGAGCGCTGAGATCATAGGACGATGATCCTCATCGAAGTGGGCGACAGTGCACTGAAATCTGTCCCTCGATGAAGCGCGGTACTCGCGTACGGTGGCGCCAAATTTTTTTTGGCACAAGTTCATAACTCGGTTATCCTTGAAGCTAGATCGCTGAAATCACGGGAGGATGTTCCACGTCCAGGTAGGTGTTAATGATATTAAAACGATTCTCCTGGTAAGTGCGGTACTCGCGTACGGGGGGGGCCAAATTCTTTTTGGCACAAGTTCATAACTCGGTTATCTTTCAAGCTAGAGCGCTGAGATCATACGACGATGACCCCATCGAAGTAGGCGATAATGCACTAAAATCCATCCCTCGGGTAAGCGCGGTACTCGCGTACGGGGGCGCCAAATTTTTTTTGGCACAAGTTCAAAACTCGATTATCTTAGAAGCTACAGCGCTGAAACCATAGGAGGATGTTCCCCGTCCAATCAGGTATTAGTGTTATTAAATCTGTCCCCCTGGTTGGCGAGGAACTCGCGTACGGGGGCGCCAAATTTCTTTTGGCACAAGTTGAAAACTCGATTATCTTTGAAGCTAGAGCGCTGAAATCATAGGACGATGTTCCTCATCGAAGCAGGTGATAATGCACTGAAATCTATCCCCCGGGTGAGCGTGGTGCCCGCGTACGAGCCCGCCAAATTTTTTTTCGGTTAAGTTCATAACTCAAGCACCTGAGAAGCAAAAGAACTGTACTTTTAAGAGGATATACCCTGTACACCGTTTCATCCAGCTTGAACCCAACTCTTGGGTATGCTTGGTAAACAAGCACGGGTCCGTGAAAGTTTTGTTCCAGTAAGTTGCTAACTCAGGTGCCAGAGGAACTAGAAAAATGAAATTTTATGGGGATGTATTCTGACAGTTCTGGCGGCCAGTCTTAATTTGTTTAGCTGGAGGCATTTTCAGAAAAAGCCGGTGCCGGCAACAAGAACTGCGGGGAGCTATGCAAACAAAGGCTGGAACGCACCAGGTGAGCCGGTGCGATCATGCGTTTTTGCATCAAAACTAAAGTA